TAAGATTTTATGCATATTGTCAATATTGGAGATTGATCCTCTACCAAATTATTTTTTCTCATACTTTATTTAAGTGCTGCTGTAATATAATTAAAAACAAAACAAAAAATTCAAAACAGGGGAAGAGCCAGACTCAACATCTTTGCATTCAAACTTACTGGATCCAAATTTGAATTGCTTATTCACTAATTTAAACTCCAAAGAAATAATTGATTTGCAACTTTTATCATTGTGGACTAAATACCCTTTACAAGTTATAGAAAGACAAGTGTATAACAGTCATTGTTGTTAAAATTTTGATTTATCACTACTATTTTACATTTTTATGATTTTTTTTCCATCAAAACGATTTTACTAATATTTCAAACACTTTTACGTTTTTATGATTTTTTACGATTTTTTTACATTACGATTTTACGTTTTACAATTTTTTAATCTCCTTTCAATTTTACTTAAGATCTCGATTTTAACAACATTGATAACAATAACATTTTTTTCCAAGAAGTTAAAACTTTAGAGTTGCCTTAGATTACTTCTCTTGATCCTTTTTTCTTTTCCCAGATAAGGGTAACCAAAAAAAGGATCAAGTGCCTAACTGGCATATCGAGTGGGCATTGTGGATAGCCAACACTCCTCATATAATGGGTAGCATCCAACTCCAAGTTCTTAATCTGCATCCAATATGCATTTTCATTGGCTACCTAACCAATTTAAACAATTCCTATCATGCCAAGAGAAGTTAGCTGTATCATTCTGGCCCTTGGAGCAAAGATGGCATTTAAAATACTTTATATCGACGATTCCAAAAGTTATTAAAACAAAAATAAGATATAAAGAGGCAGATCATAGTGATACACTCTCGGACACACATAAATCTGCCAATTTTTAGTTGCATTACTACTCCCAGGATTACAAGGTTTAGTGTTATCACACATAGTTCAACTGTGGTTGCAACAAATGTATATCAGAAAAGAGTTTGTCCTTTTACAAGATACAAGTCGTGTTATTTTAGCTTTTTATAATTATGTGCTTTAAGGAGGGCAAAAAAATTTATTTAATGTTTTTTAATAAATTAATTATGCATTTATTATAATTTTGAAAATAATTACATATTTATTGTACAAGGGCGTCACTCAAGAGGCAATCACGCTTAAATTTGGGCGTCACCTCATCAGCTGTTGACACGTGTCATATTATTTTCTAAAAAAATAATAATTTAATCATAAAACTTCTGAAGGCCATAACTTTTGATTCGGGTATCTAAATCAGGTAATTCTTTTTTTGATTTCACATAACTTTTCGAGATCTACGCAATGACATCTCATTTAATATATTTTATTTCTCATCAAACACAATTTATATTTGCAAGAATGGTATTATAAGAGCGGTTAAATCCAGAAGCCTCTGAGTTCTGGGTTTGTGATTTAATATAAAAAAATAAATAAAGATTTGATTTGTGATTTAAATTAAAATTAATAAATAAAGATTTGATTTGTGAATTGATTCGTAGTCTGAAATTAATGATGGCTTATGAATGTTTTTCAAAAATAAAATCCTTTTTCCTTAGAGATTTAGAATATTTATTTAATTATTTTCTTTATTAATACCGATTTTTCAAATTGATTTTTGAGTTTAAATCACAAATCAAATCTTTATTTTGTTTTCCTTATTAATAAAAATTGTTATTTTTAATTTAAATCACAACCCAATTTTTTTTTTAATAAAAATAAAATTTTTATTTTTTTAATTTAAATCACACATCAAATCTTGATTTATTTTTGATATTAAATCACAAACTCAGAACTCAGAGGCTTCTGAGTTTAAAAATGCGACACATGTCAACACGTGTCAACACTTGACACGTCACCAATCACGTCTAAATTGGGTTTCAATCAAGAGGCAATCACGCCTAATTTAGGTAATTTTATTTTTGAAAAATATTCATGAGCCATCATTAATTTCAGACCACGAATAATAACTCAGAAGCTTATAGCATTAATTGTTAATTTCAAAAATAATATCCTTCTTCCTTAGAGATTTAGAATAGTTATTTAATTATTTCCTTTATTTCTACAGATTTTTCAAATTGATTTTTTAGTTTAAATCAAAAATCAAATCTTTATTTTGTTTTTATTATTAATAATTATTTTTATTTTTAATTTAAATCACAAACTAAATTTTTGTTATAATAAAAAAAAATTATTATAAAAAAATTTAAATCATAAATCAAAATTTTATTTATTTTTTTATATTAAATCACAAACTCAGAACTCAGAGGCTTCTGGGTTTAACCGCTCTTATAATATCATTCTTGCAAATATAAATTGTGTTTGTGAGAAATAAAATATGTCAAATGAGATGTCATTGCGTAGATCTCAAAAAGTTATGTGGAATCAAAAAAGAATTATCTGATTTGGATACCCGAGTCAAAAGTTGTGGCCTTCAAAAGTTTTATGATTAAATTATTATTTTTTTGAAAAAAAATATGACACGTGTCAACACCTGATAAGTGACGCCCAAATTTAGGCGTGATTGCCTCTTGAGTGATGCCCAATTTAGGCATCATTGGTGACGCCTAAAATGGGCGTCTTATTGTGCAATAAATGTGTAATTATTTTCAAAACTGTAATAAATACGTAATTAATTTATTAAAAAACATTAAATAATTTTTTTTGCCCTTCAAGGAGTACACAGTTATAATATTAAAAATGTATTTTTTTTCTCTTTTCAGAACCTGTCAGTTGACGTGAAAAAATGACAAAAAGTACAACTTTAATATTATAACTCTATACTCCCTAGAGTATATAGTTATATGTTTGATATTTATTATTTATTATACCCCAATTGTTTGAGATTTCAAAATAATATTTATTCTAATATGTAATAGTATTCAAGATAATTGAAGATTACATGAAGATTAGAGAAGATATGAAAGTTATCATGAAGAGAGAAACATGCAATCAAATAAAGTTTATGATATATTTTATCTTTTTTAGATTTTTTGTAAGAGAAAAAAATATTTTTACCAAAGATTTAGATTAGAATTGTATTGCATAATAGAATAAGATATTTAAGTTTTACATATTTTTTATTTGGAAAAAATCAAAAATATTATTTTTGAAAATTACATTTAAGATTTCTGGTTAGTTTTTGATTAAAGATTTATGGTTAGTTTTTGGAAAAGATTTTGAATTTTAAAATTATATCTTTTGGGATTTTAGGAGAGATAAATTGTTATTAATATAAATATGGCTCATTGCATATTATAAAGGAGGAAGAAAATACAAGAGAGAAGAGAGAGAATTAGATTTTTCAAGATTAGGGTTCTTTTTGTGCATCAATTGAAGAGTTTTATGAAGAATAATCATTCATACATTCATCTTTTGGCAAAATGAATATTTCTCCATAGAAATTCAGATTACCTATCTGCTTGAAGAGAAGAAGTACTGAGGTAAATCATTTTAATTTGACTTGAGAACACTTGTGTGATAGGGTTTCGAAGTCCTTAAGGGTTAGAATTTCATACTGGGAAACTAGGATACCAAGTGTGAATTTGTATAAGGGGTAGACTAAGAAACTAGAGAACTTCTTGTACACAAGTTTCATAGTAGAGTTGCCCATTAAATTTCAATACTCGATATTATGGCCCGTGATTTTTCTCCCTTTTGAATTTTCCATGTAAATATTACTGTGACAATAATTCTCTATCTTTAACTTAATTTATTGCTTTGAATTAATTTTTAATTAGCAAATTATTTTTATAAAATTCAATTCACTCCCTTAAATTCATCTGGGATCAAGATTATAAGTACTTAAAAGGACAAACTTGTGTTCTTTAAAATACAAAACATTTTTCGAATATATATAGACTAAGAGCAACATAACCGACCTCGTAAGAATAAAAACTTGAAAATAAGATAGTAGAAGCAAACCCCACTTGAGAGTTGAGAGTGACCCACAAAATGTTTGAGGAGTTTTAGTTGACCAAATTGCCCTTGAGACGTAGCTCCTTAATCACTGGGGGAGAAGCAGAGAAACGGTGGGATGGCAGGAGGGTTTGATTGGGATATGAAGAACAAGTGGATACAGGGGGAAGAGGGACCCACTTGAAAACATTTTATAATCCCACAAATAAAAAGCCATTCAGTAATAGAAAGTCCAAAGAATAACGGCCAGAGAGTGGAACCTTTCACTTGAAGTGAGAGAGAGAGGGCATTTCCTTAATAGCAAGACAAAGAAAGGAATAGTTGGAAATGGAGTTAGTTTAAGTAGGTTTCCTGAGGTATAGGGATGCTGACTTGGAACAATCTCAAGCGTTGGATTAAGAGTGGCGTAGTATCCTCAGTTGAGTACACGTGCTGCTATCCTCCCTCCTCTTTACCACTCACCCTCTTTTTTTATCTTTGCTTCCATGCATGGATTTCTCCTCCAAATATAGTCAAGTTGAGAGAGAGAGAGAGAGAGAGAGATAGAGAGAGAAATCAACGCTCACTTACTCTCTTTATAATTTTTTTTTTCTTTCTTGGCTTGGCTTGTTCATAGCCATCATTAGCAACAAAGGTAACTAACAACACAATACAACTCTCTCTTAACACCTCTTCAAGTTTTTATTTTCTTTTTATTTTCTTTTTGTTATAAACTCAACTACCAAACAAGCTATACTAGTAACCAAAGGAAGAAGCTTTGCTTTACTACTCGTTCTCTTCTTTTCCTCTTTTTGTGCCTTAGATCTTGCACTTGCTTGGAATTTTACTGAAAACCATTGATGTGATGCAGCTTTCTCGCGGTATTCGGGGTTTCACCTCAATAATCTGATCTGGGGTCTTGCTATTTTGTGTTTATGAGATCGAACAATTCAGCATTCTTGGATTTTGATATTCTCTACTGATTCACCATCGAAAATAAAACTAACCCTTTTTGCTTCTTCTTCTTCTTCTTCTTCTTCTTCTCTGATCCGCGTTCTCTTTGGTTTCTTGAATTCAATGGAAGAAGATCAAGAATTCAAACACGCGTGCAAGTTCTGCAGCAAGAGCTTCCCTTGTGGTAGATCCTTGGGAGGTCACATGAGGTCTCATATCACAAACTTGTCAACTGATCAGACAGAGGAAAAGGAAAAGCTTGCAACAACGAGGAAGCTTCTTCCATCTCTCAACAATGGTGGAGGAGGAGGAGACACGGGTTCTGAAGCTGCAACTAACGCTGGCTATGGTCTCAGAGAAAACCCAAAGAAGACATGGAGAGTTGCAGATTCAAGTGAAGACACTCTGGTCTCTGACAAATTCTGCAAAGAGTGTGGCAAAGGGTTTCACTCTTGGAAAGCTTTGTTTGGTCACATGAAATGCCACTCTGACAAAGAAAGAGTTTCCAATAGCTTTGAGGATCAAGATTCATGGACTAATAATAATAATACTAATAACAATAATGCTAGTGCTACTACACAGAAGCTGGTCATGGATAGCCAATCTGATAATGAAGCCACTGCTCCAAATCGAAGAACAAGATCAAAGAGAAAAACAAGGTGCATGGTTAGTACTGCTGCAACTTCTTCTGTGTCTTTTGCTTATCCTTCTTCATCTTCTCTTTCTGAGGTTGAACAAGAGCAAGAAGAGGTTGCTATGAGCTTGATGATGCTTAGTAGGGATGTTAGTCCTTGGATTGGTCTTCATTCTGTTGCTGAATCCTCTGACAATTACTCTGCTTACTTCGAAGCTCCATCTTCAGTTCGAACTAATCTGGTTATTAAATTTGAGAGCAACAAGAAGACTACACCTGCCCTTAATGGTTCTGAGATAGCAAAACAAAGTGATAACAAGAAGTGGGAGTTTGGCAAATCTGTTTCTGCAAATCCCAACTACAAAGGGAAAGGTTCAGAGCTTTTGGCTACTGAGTTTTCTGAAAACAGATTTAAGATGAATAAAAAGGCTATTAAGCTTGAGCTTGATTCTCCATCTGCATTGAAGGATTCTGGAGGTGAACTTGGGAAGAACAGAGTTAATGGAATAGAATCAGTTTCATCAAAATCCGCTACTAACAAGTACAATTCAATCAAGCCAAAGTTTTTTGGTTCCGAATTGAAGTCAAATTCCCTTAAGACTTCTGAAGGTGAATTCAGCAAGAACTCTCATAAGAGGGGTAAGTTCGAGTGTACTACTTGCAACAAAGTCTTCCACTCCTACCAAGCTCTTGGAGGTCATAGAGCTAGTCACAAGAAGATCAAAGGCTGTTTTGCTTCAAAAAATGAGAGCAGTGAAAACAGCATTGAAACTGACCTCTCTCCTGAAGCAGCAGCAACAACAACTGAAAGCAAGCTCATGAAGAACAGTGACAGTGAATATATGGTTGAACATAAATTGGCTGCTAGTTTTCATAATGAGGAAGAGATAGTTAAAGAGTTCAAGAAGAGCAAAGTGCATGAGTGTCCAATTTGCCTTAAGGTTTTTCCATCTGGTCAAGCCTTGGGTGGCCATAAGAGATCTCATTTGGTTGGTGGGTCTGAGAGTAGAAACTTTCAAACAGTTGTAGTTCAGGAACCTGTCCCAGAAGTTAGGGACTTCCTTGATCTTAATCTTCCTGCTGCTACAGAAGAGGAAAGCAATAGCCATGCTGACTCTAACAGACCCTGGTGGGTAGTAGAAGACAACCACAATCACAAACAGGAGGCACTGGTAGGCCTCATGTCTAGCTAAACCTCATGGTTTATTCCATCAGTGGTTCAACTTCAGAGTCAAGATTCAAACTGTATAGAAATACTTCTGCATTTATTTCATTAATTCTTTACTGGATTCATGTTTTCTTCATGGTATTTCTGTTCTGTTTTTGATTTTTCAAGTGGTTCATGAGATGAACTTTCTGTCCTTTTTGTTTTCTAGTACTCTTTTTTTTTTTTGGGGGGGGGGGGATGCTATATGTTTATTACTATGTTCATAGAATAAGTTCAATTTCTGCAAAGTTTAAGCTCATCATTTTAGTTCTCTTTCGAAATCCCAGGAAATCTAACAGATTTCTATAGTTCTGTTGTTTTCACTCACTTCCCATCTTGCATCTTAGAGATGTACTTATTGTATGAATTCCAAAAGTGACATGTTTGTGGGGTAATTGATTTTCTTTGCATCAAAGAGAAATGAATGAGGTGTTGAAAAATTGGGATAGGTACCGGAAGTCATTAGACATGAAGAGATAAAAAGGTAGATTTTATAATACACATAAAGAAGGCATGTGAGAGCTCAAGGTGGTTGTTTAGTCACCTACCATAAAACCTGACCACCCATCTATCTGTTGTTTCCTTCTCTTACTTGGCACAAAAAGTGGTGTGTTAATAAATCTTTCTCACTAATCACTATGTTCTCTCAGTAGCAAATATCATAATAATTCATGAAGAGAGAGTGAGGGGGATGGCTGGACCACTACTAAGTAACACAGTGATATTACAAGCACCACAAAATTGACGCAAAGTGCACCTTACTGTAAATTCAACTCAGCGGTTAAAGATCACTCTTTTTCTTTTCTATTAGAATGACCTCAATTTTGGGACATAGATTTTATTTATATAGAATATCAATATATTGTAAATGGGAATTTCAAGCATAATATATTTCTGAAGGTAAATAGAAACTTAGATCCTATGATGGACTTCATTTAACCATAGGAAGGGTGTGATGCACGAATTGGGACCATTGACCAATTGGCTTGGATTATTATTTATGCTTTACCAATACAAAGAAGTGTAGCAATACATCTGTGTGCATTAATGTGTCACGCATAACTATTTTGCACATTTTAGAAAGCATTTTGCTTGCAACTTGGCGTAGGGTTTGGTCACCGGCACATATGGAGTGAGTACTGTGTTTACTGCTTTGTCGACTATTGCAAAAGACAAGTTGCAAAGTGGTTATTTAGTTACTAGTTAGGTAGCTATTTCTCTCAAATGAATAATTGTTTATAAATATAAAAATGTGCACTGTTTTTTATCATTATGTTTATCTCTAAGTGTGTGTGCACTATGACATCAAGGTTTTTATTTATAGATATATGTATATAATTTAATTATTTTATATTTTTACTTTTGTATCTATTTAAATGTCGTTTGTGTAATATAGTAAATTGAAAAATAAATGTTTTTTAGTATGGTATTTTTAATAAATAATTTGGTAATTAATGATTAGAGGATTCTTTTTTCTTTTTTTTCGGTAAACATGATTAGAGGATTCTACATGTTAAGACAAGATGATTGAAATGAAATTTTATTTAGTAATAACACTTTTTACAAATTGCCTAGATTCATATATAGTTGCTAACTCATTCTTAGTAATTATAAATTTTTAATATAGCATGCTCTAGTTGTACTTTCTTTTTATATTGTGATGTGTATATTGACATAACACGGTTACAATTTAATTCATGAAAAATAAAGTCTCAATGAAAGTACTACAAGAAACTTAATACTACTTTAGTATTAAATTCTTGTATCCACAGCCTTACATCAACTCATAATTTTCTTTTTAAAAAAATAAAATAGATAAAGTCTGTTTCGGATCGAAGCAAGAAAAATATCTAAAATATTTGGCAGTCCTGTCAACTTAATTTATAGAGTCAAAGGGATTCGTTTGGAAGTTTGATTCTTAAAAATGTCATAGTGGTACGATTTAAATAATAACAAAATGGAGGTTAAGATCAGATGCAGTATTGATCACAATGTGCCCCATGCGTTACAAATCGAACATGTGGCGATTACCTTTGTTATTACATGCTACATGTCGTGAAATAAACAACAAATGATTAGTTCAGCTTTTATTGGATCTTGGGTTTTTCATTTCAAATTTTAATTTATTAAGAGACAGTTCTTGATGTCAGAAAAAAAAAATGAGAGAGAGAGAGAAAGAGAATTCTGAATTAAACACTAGGAATTGCACCGTTAATTAAAAAAATATACAATTGAGCTTGCTTGAGGTTATATTTTTGTGCCTGAACAATGCTGTTTTATTACGCTAACAATGTCATCATTCACCAATGAAATTATTGTGCAAATACTGATAAGTCTTAAAGTCCATATGAACCATGTCCTGCAGAAAAACTGCTATGAATCACACCTCATTTTGTAAAGAAACATTTATATGTATAAGATTTTGTTTTTCCCTGGCTGTACCTTATTGATTCACTAAAGTAGTTTATGCAATTGGGAGTTGTAAATTGTAATGCCATTCCCAAATCAAGTTTGACAAAAACAAACCTAGCTTATTGAAAATTTAGCTAAGGAGTGTCATAGCTACGTTTTGGTCAATGTTGGCATAGCATCATTTCCACACCTAACACACAACAAAACCTTGCATTGTGACTCTCCACTCTGATCATGTTCTTTATAAAGTATGGCTTTTATCTTAGTCTATGGACACATGAGCCAACATTGTGACTACCCACTTCTCACTCTGATCAATTTACCTTAGTCATTACTTCTAATTGCACTAAGCTTTCCTTTTTAATGGAGTTACTTTTCTTTTCTTAGAATTCTCTATCTAAGCTTCATTGATTTCATTTCCATCCTTATATTATTAATGTAAGAATCACTTTTCCCCCCATTTTCATAAAGTTGAAAGCAATGGTTATTTTGGGTATGAGGATTTATCCCCTACACAAATTTCTGATGTTCGATTTCCAACATATATCTTGACGATAATTTCTGAAATTCTAAGCACTAACAATAGGCTATTTCCATCTTATAAATGGTTGATTATCACTTAATTTTCCCCAAAAATATATTTTATTATCAATTGAATTTTAAATTCAATTGAAAAATATGATTTCCCAAATTGCTAAAGCAATAATATTTTATTGAAAATGTGACTTTCCTATTTTTAAGACTTTAGTTTCATTTCCCCCTTGATAATTCAATTTTTTGGTATAGCTCCATCACACAACACTTATTCCAAGTGGGGGAAAGTTTCAGTTAAAAAGAAAAAGCAAAAGCAACAAAATTTTTATATAAAGGAAACCAAGTTAAGCCACAGATGCTTAGCTAACAATCAATTCAATTTAGGCCAACTTCACTGTGGATATTTGTAATTTAAGCCCAACAGGAACTCAATGTTTTCGGGGCCATTTTGTTTGGAGTGGTACAAGGGAAAGAAACTTAGGCCCTACTGTTTTTAAAAATAATTTTTTAATTTTCAGAAAAATAAAAATAAAAAAAATTCTATTTGATAAGATCTGTTTTATAAAAAAAAAATTAGAGATCATGTTTTAGTTATTTTTATTTTGTATTTTAACTTTTAACTTTCTAAACACATGTTTTTAAATAACAAAAAAAAAAAAACACAGAAAACACATGTTTTCGTAACTATTCTACAAAACAGTTTTTAAAATAAAAAAAACTAGAACATAATCAAACACACCCTAAGGAATTATTTGAATACTATTTCTAAAAACAATTTTTTGATTTTCAGAATAAAAAATAAAAAAATTTGTTTGACAAGGCCTACTTTGTAAAAAAAGTTTAAAAAATTATAACTATTTTTTTCTTTTTAGAATCAAATTTAAAGAAATATCTGAGTTATTTTTGTTTTGTGTTTTAACTTGTAACTTTCAAAACAAAGAAAATACTTGTTTCAATACCTATTCTACAAAACAATTTCAAAAACAAAAAAATCAGAACACAACCTAAAATAATTAGTTGGGGGGTTAAAACTTTGAAAAGGAAAGTTTATTCTGAACTTTCCTGTGCTAAGAATAAGTATTTTTCCCAATAAAAAGTGGGAAAAAATAACTACCATTCCATTTATCAAAACAAATAATTAACTTATTCGTCCCTCGTATGAAATTATTAAAAAATTTATTTTTAATTACGATATGAATATTTTGATTTAATGAACGAATATTAAATAATTTAAATCTTAATAGTTTAAAAGTAAAATAATTATTTCAAATGTAATTATAATTTCACGAAATATAAAAAAAAAACTCATATTTACACTTTGATAGTTACATAACTGATTATGTTAGATTTATTTATCATAATATTTATCTACAATTTTTAAATTTATATACATAAATTCATTTAGTCGTGTATGAATCATTTTAGATTATGCTACAACTTTAATGATATATATATATATATATATATATATATATATGAGATAAAATTATTTCTATCAACCCAAAATTACATCATTTTGAGGGTTGAGAGAATTAATAAAGGATGTTTTGATAAATTTATATAACAAAAAAATAAATAAAAATTTCTAAAATATCCTTCATTAATTTTCCAAACTCTCAAAATGATATAGTTTTGGAGTTATACGAGATATGTTGCAGGAGAAATTTATTTTTCCCATAATATATATAGTGGGAGGTTATAGTTACTATTTTTTTTCTTACTACCTCTTACTACTAAATCTTAACCGTTGATTTTCGTCAATCTTACAGTTGTAATTTTTTGGGTCATACTTATTAATTAATTTTTAATTTTTAATAAATTATAACCGTTAGATTGGCGGAAATTAACGGTTAAAATTTGGTAGTAAGAGATAATACGAAAATGAGATAGTAAATATAACTTCTTATATATATATATATATATATATATGTGTGTGTATATAGGAGAGAGATATTTTGACTCTAGAGTAAGACTTACAACTCTTGCTCTTCATCTCAACCGTTGATTTTCGTCCATCTAACGGTTATTATTTATTTGAAA